AGGGGAGGAAAGGGCAGGGAGGGGTCTTGGGGAGAAACCCCCACCCCACCCCACACGGCCCAGCATGCGGCCCCCAAGTTAGAAAGTTTCCCCGTGCTGGGTCTTGCCACACCCTTGGTTGGACAAAGAACCGTATTCTGCTCAGAAAACGTAGTCCTTGAACCAGCAGCAATGTTCCTTCCAAAGAAAATATATTTTCTGCCCAGGAAACGTGTTTTCTTTGCTCTTGCAACCCCATGCATTTCTCTGCAGAATAATTTCTCTCCGGGATGTTTGAACACAGCGAAAGAGGGCATTGCAAGGCTCGTTTTTACTGAACATCTCTAACACATCATAACTCAATGTTATACTCCCATAACTCAGAGATAGGGGCTGAAACATAAACATGATGAGCAGCGTTTTTCAACCTGGAGTCAGGACCCATGAAGGGGTTGCGAGTGGGTAAAGGTGGTGGTTAATGCCTCCCTTCGGGAAGGCATAATTCCAGCCAGCTTAAAACAAGCTGTTATAAAACCGCTGTTGAAAAAACCATCACTGGACCCCACTCAATTCGTCAACTATCGGCCTGTTTCCAATCTCCCCTTTTTGGGCAAAGTCCTGGAACGTGTGGTGGCCTCACAACTCCAGGTATTCTTGGTAGACACTGATTATCTGGATCCGGCGCAGTCTGGCTTTAGGCCGGGGCATGGTACCGAGACAGCCTTGGTCGCCTTAGTCGATGATCTCCGGCGTGAGCTTGACAGGGGGAGTGTGTCCCTGTTGGTTCTGCTGGACCTCTCAGCGGCCTTCGATACCGTCGACCACGGTATCCTTCTGGGGGGCCTCATGGGAATGGGCCTGGGGGGCGCTGCTTTGCAGTGGCTCCGGTCCTTCCTAGAGGATCGTACCCAGAAGGTGTTACTGGGGGACAACTGCTCGTCCTCACAACCATTGACTTGTGGGGTCCCGCAGGGTTCAATACTGTCCCCCATGTTGTTTAACATCTACATGAAGCCGCTGGGGGATATCATCTGGAGTTTCGGGGTGTGATGTCACCTATACGCAGATGACGTTCAACTCTGTCACTCCTTCTCCGCTACTAAGGAGGGTGTCTGGGTCCTGAACCAATGCTTGGCTGCTGTGATGGTCTGCATGACGGCAAACAAATTGAAACTGAATCCAGTCATGACAGAGGTCCTCCTGGTCAGTCGGAAGGCCGAACAGGGTATAGGGTTACAGCCTGTGCTAGACGGGGTCGCACTCCCCCTAAAGGCACAGGTTCGCAGCTTGGGTGTGACTGGATTCTTCGCTAAGCTTGGAACCCCAAGTTTCAGCGGTGTCCAGAGGAGCATTTGCACAGCTTCGGCTCGTGCGCCAGTTGCGCCCGTATCTTGGGAAGTCGGACTTGGCCACGGTGGTCCACGCTCTTGTCACATCCCGTATAGATTACTGCAACGCGCTCTACGTGGGGTTGCCCGTGAAGACTGCCCGGAAGCTTCAGATGGTCCAGCGTTCGGCAGCCAGGTTGCTAACGGGAGCAGCACTCAGGGAGCACACCACTCCTCTGTTGAGCCAGCTCCACTGGCTGCCAATTTGCTACCGGGCACAATTCAAGGTGCTGGCTTTAGCCTATAAAGCCCTACACGGTTCCGGCCCCACTTACCTCTCCGAACGCATCTCCACCTATGAACCGGCAAGGGCGTTAAGATCGTCCGGGGAGGCCCTGCTCTCGGTCCCGCCAGCGTCACAAGTGCGGTTGGCGGGCAACGAGGGACAGGGCCTTCTCAGTGGTGGCCCCCCGGCTATGGAATGCCCTACCAGCGGACATCAGGCAGGCCCCTTCGCTATTGGCGTTTAGGAGGAGGGTTAAGACGTGGCTCTTCGAACAGGCGTTTGGATAAATATGCAATTAACAACTGACTCAGGAATGACGGCACATTGAACAAGGAATGGTAATACGACTGTGAGATCGAGATCTGATTCTAATGAGGCGTGATGATTTTTATGTGTATTGTTTGTGTATGTTTGTTATATAGATTGTTCAGTGTTGCACATTTTATTGTAAACCGCTTCGAGTCGCCTTTTTAGGCTGATATTTGCGGTATACAAAAGAAGTAAATAAATAAATAAATAAATAAATTTTCAGTGGGGTCACTAAAGACCATCAGAAAACATATATTTCTGGTGGTCTTAGGAAACCTTTTGGCAGAGAAGGCTGAAGATCTCTCCGCCTGTCCTTCTCTTCCTTTCTGGAAACAGACCATGAATTTATTTGTTTATTATTTACTAGCCGTCGCCTGCCACACGTTGCTGTGGCCCACATGGGGGTTCTGTGTGGGAGGTTTGGCCCAGTTCTATCGTTGGTGGGGTTCAGAATGCTCTGTGATTGTAGGTGAACTATAAATCCCAGCAACTACAACTCCCAAATGTCAAGATTCTATTTTCCCCAAACTCCACCAGTGTTCACATTTGGGCATATTGAGTCTTTGTGTAGAGTTTGGTCCAGGTCCATCATTGTTTGAGCCCACAGTGATCTCTGGATGTAGGTGAACTACAACTCCAAAACCAAAGGACACTGCCCACCAAACCTTTCCAGTATTTTCTGTTGGCCATGGGAGAACTGTGTGCCAAGTTTGGTTCAATTCCATCATTGGTGGAGTTCAGAATGCTCTTTGATTGAAGGTGAACTATAAATCCCAGCAACTACAACTCCCAAATGACAAAACCACCACCACCCCCAACCCCACCAGTATTCAAATTTGGGCGTATTGAGTATTTGTGCCAAATTTGGTCCAGTGAATGAAAATATTATTTTTTTTTATTTACGAAATTTATACGCTGCCCTTCTCACCCCGAAGGGGATTCATAGCGGCTTACAAGATATATATACATTCAATATATTATATTATTAGCATAGTACAATATCAGTATGATATATTACTATATCATACTATACCATTATATTGTAATATTATTAGTAATATTACATATAATATAAGATATATAATTATAATATCATATTATTATATATTATAATTAACAAACAAGATATAGCTTTCTAAGGTCTACAGAGATACTTGCAGGAACACCTCAGCAAGCAAGAGTTCAAAAGTGGCAGGCAAAAACTATACCGTCATATTGTAATATTATTGGTAATATTACATGTAATATAATATATATAATTATAATATTGTATTATTATTATTAGTAGTATTATATTCATTGGTCAAGAAAATGAGTGGAAAGTAAAGCAGTAATTTGGTGGAAATAAACAAACAAGACAGTGACATCTTGGGCCCATCCTTTGTTCGGATTTCAGCCAGCACGCCAATGCTATTAAATCAAGATATAGCTTTCTAAGGTCTACAGAGATACTTGCAGGAACACCTTAGCAAGCAAGAGTCCAAAAGTGGCAGGCAAAAGCCATACCGTTATATTGTAATATTATTGGTAATATTACATGTAATATAATATATATAATTATAATATCGTATTACTATTGGTATAATACTGTATTATATTAAAATATTCTAAATATTATATGTACCGTATATACTCAAGTATAAGCCAACCCGAATATAAGCCAAGGCACCTAATTTTACCACAAAAAACTGGGAAAACATATTGACTCGGGTATAAGCCGAGAGTGGGAAATGCAGCTACAGGTAAATTTCAAAATAAAAATAGATACCAATAAAATTACATTAATTGAGGCATCAGGAGGTGAAATGTTTTTTAATAATTACATAAAACTGTAATTAGAGATAAGACTTCCCAACTCTGATTAAATCATTACATATCATCAATGTAAATGTACTTACGTATCCTTCCAACAATAATAAAGAGAGTAAAATAATAAATATAATAATAATAATAATAATAAAGTAGAATAATGGAAATGCAATAATAAAAATAATAATAGAGTAGAATAATAAATGCAATAGTAATAAAGTAAAATAATAAATGTAATAATAATCATAAATAGTGTAAAATAATAAATGTAATAATAATAATAATAAATGTAATAATAATAAAGTAGAATAATGGAAATGCAATAATAACAATAATAATAGAATAATAAATGTAATAATAGAGTAGAATAATAAATGCAATAGTAATAAAGTAAAATAATAAATGTAATAATAATCATAAATAGTGTAAAATAATAAATGTAATAATAAATGTAATAATAATAATAATAAATGTAATAATAATAATAATAAATGTAATAATAATAAAGTAGAATAATGGAAATGCAATAATAACAATAATAATAGAATAATAAATGTAATAATAGAGTAGAATAATAAATGCAATAGTAATAAAGTAAAATAATAAATGTAATAATAATCATAAATAGTGTAAAATAATAAATGTAATAATAAATGTAATAATAATAATAATAAATGTAATAATAATAAAGTAGAATAATGGAAATGCAATAATAACAATAATAATAGAATAATAAATGTAATAATAGAGTAGAATAATAAATGCAATAGTAATAAAGTAAAATAATAAATGTAATAATAATCATAAATAGTGTAAAATAATAAATGTAATAATAAATGTAATAATAATAATAATAGGGTAAAACACTGTAAATGTAATAATAATAAAGAGAGTAAAATAATACATGAAATAAAAATAATACTAATAACAGAGTAAAATAATAAATAATCTTGACTCGAGTATAAGCCGAGGGGAGCTTTTTCAGCCTAAAAAGGGGGCTTATACTCGAGTATATACAGTATATACAACATATTGTATTATATTATATTATTGGTATAGCACAGGAGACAAAGTAGATCCATGCTGCCTATTGAATATTTACATAACGATGCATAACAGTAGCAAAACTGCATTAGGAAGGTTGGGAATCCCTGAACCAGAGTGTCCAAACGTGATTTGCAAAGCACTGACTTTTCCAGCGTGACGCCTGGAGTCGGATCCTTCACTCGGAGCCAAGTTCTCCCTCTCAGACATGTGGTGTTGTCGTTTCAGCGCCTGTCAAAGGTATTCCCGGTCCAGCCGCTCACCCCTAAACTGGCCGGGCCGCTCTTGGCCGAAACCATCAGGTGCCCGCGGGTTCCTTTGCCTGGACTCATAAAGGACAGCGGTGGTCACAACTTGTTGTGGTGCGGACGTCTCCGTCGGGTTTGCAGCTCTCTTGACGGTATGTTTCCTTGCTGTTGCTGCTCTTTCGTTGCCAGATATTTGTGCGTGGAATTTCTCATCTCCTACGAAACTCAGCATCTCGCTCATTTCGAGTGACTCTCTCCTTGCCGTCCTTGTTGACCGCCGACCGTTGTCTCTGGATGGGAAATGATTTAGTTCCTCTTGTATGTTGTGGCTTTGGCATGCTTCGTCGTAAAGAGCCTGATGGATACAACAAAATGTAAATTATATGCTGTTTAACTAGGCACTAATTCATCCAAGTTGAGTTTTATATGTCGGGAAGGCCAAGCACGGCTCCGTCCAGCGGCTCCTTCCCCTGATGTGTCACTTACGCGTGCAAGAAATATGTGTGTTAAATTGTGTTTTAGGGAGAGGGCAGTGGAAAGGAAATTAAGGCTTTTTTCCATTGAGGTTTTATTCCTGTGTGTATTTTCGAGAGGATTGGGTCATTTTCCTCCATTAGGACTGCTAAGTTTCACAACCTGGAAACTGTTTTCGAAGGCTTTCGTGGCCGGAATCGTTGGATCACTGTGAGTTTTCTGGGCTGTCTTGCCATGTTCCAGAAGCATTCTCACCTGACGTTCTGCCCACGTTTATGGCAGGCATCCTCAGAAGTTGTGAGGTCTGTTGGAAACTAGGCAAGTGGGTGTATATCCCTTTGGAATGATGTCCAGGGTGGGAGTATTTATTTAATTTATTTATTTACAGTATTTGTATACCGCTTTTCTCACCCCAAGGGGGACTCAAAGCGATCTGTTTGAGGCAAGTGTGAATGTTGCAATTGGCCAGCTTGATTAGCATTTGATGACTTTGCAGCTTCAAGGTCTGGCTGCTTCCTGCCTGGGGGGGATCCTTTGTTTGGAAGTCTTATAGGTAAAAGTAAAAGTTTTCCCCTGACATTCAGCCTAGTCATGTCTGCCTCTGGGACTCTGGTGCTCATCTCCATTTCTAAGCCAAAGAGCTGGCTTCGTCCATAGACACCTCCAAGGTGATGTAATAATAATAATAATAATAATAATAATAATAATAATAATAATACTTTATTTGTCCCCCACTACCATCTTCCCAAGGGACTCGGTGCGGCTTACATGAGGCCAAGCCCACAATACAACAATAAACAATAACAACAATAATACAAAGCAATAAATAACCCATAAGCAAAAATAAGCAATAAACATTAACAGTAACACAACGAGTTTCAAAACCTATGGCTGGGCCAAATGTAATAATTAAAATTTTAAAAAAATAATGCTGGGCATGACAAGGTGACATGGAACTGAGATAGTGTTTTGAAGGGGGATGAGTCTGCAGACAAACTTAAATCACTAATAAAGTGCATTTAGGGACATATTGCTGTGAGTTTCCTTATTCTGGGAAGGCACACTGGAACAATCACGTTTTCAGGCTCCTCCTAAAGACTGCCAGAGTTGGGGCTTGCCTAATGTCCTTGGGGAGTGAGTTCCAGAGTTGAGGGGCCACCACTGAGAAGGCTCTCTCCCTCGTCCCCACCAATCGTGCTTGCAATGGTGGTGGGAGTGTGAGCAGGGCCTCTCCAGATGATCAAAGAGATCGTGTGGGTTCGTACACAGAGAAACGGTCACGCAGGTAGGCGGGTCCCAAACTGCTTAGGGCTTTGTAGGTAAGAACCTGCACCTTGAATTGGGACCGGAAAATGAACGGCAGCCAGTGGAGCTCCTTAAACAGGAGGGTTGACCACTCCCTGTAAGGCTGATAACTGATGTGGCTGATAACAGCAAGGAGTGCCGTTACCTTCCCACTGGAGCAGTGCCTATTGATCTACTCACATTTGCATGTTTTCGAACTGCTAGGTTGACAGAAGCTGGGGCTAACAGCAGAAGCTCACACCGCTCCCTGGATTCAAACCTGTGACCTTTTGGTTAACAAATTTAGCACCTCAGCAGTTTAACCTAGTGCCACCGGGGGCTCCCAGAAGTGTTAGCTGGCCCTGATTGTTTTCTCTCTGGCCCATTATTGGGGGGTGGGGACTTCACCTGTAGACCCAAAGTGCCCAGGCTTATGGGTTCAGGCTTTGAGCCTTGCAGGGCCTGCAGTTGAGTAAGGAGCGCTCCTTACTTGGTGCTTGGCTGCAAGCCCTGCGAAGCCCAGGCACGTAGGCCCAAAGCCTGCACCTGTGGATCCAAAGCACTGAGGTGCCTGCCGCTGAGCACTGAGTAAATAAGTAGGACATTTAGGTACTGCTTGTGTGGGGAGGCTAATAATAATAATAATAATAATAATAATAATAATAATAATAATAACACTTTATTTGTACCCCACTACCATATCCCAAGGGACTCGGTGCGGCTTACATGAGGCCGAGCCCGCAATACATCAATAAACAGAACATCAATAAAATAAAACATCAATAAACAATCAATGCAATATACCGTATATATACCTGAGTATAAGCCGGCCCGAATATAAGCCAAGGCACCTAATTTTACCACAAAAAATTGGGAAAATGGATTGACTCGAATATAAGCCGAGGGTGGGAAATGCAGCAGCTACTGGTAAATTTCAAAATAAAAATAGATACCAATAAAATTATATTAATTTAGGCATCAGTAGGTTCAATGTTTTTGAATATTTACATAAAACTGTAATTCAAGATAAGACTGTCCAACTTTGATTAAACCATTATTCTAACCTTCTTCAATGTAAATATGTGTACATGTCCTCCAATAATAATAGAGTAAAATAATAATAATAATAATAATAATAATAGAGTAAAATATTGGAATGTAATCATAACAATACAGTAAAATAATAAATGTAACAAAAACAATAATAAATAGAGTAAAATAATAAATGTAATAAGAACAGCAACAATAAAATAATAAATGCAATAATAATATCAACAACAAAGTGAAATAATAAATAACATAGACTCGAGTATAAGCCGGGGGAGACTTTTTCAGCCTAAAAAAAGGACTGAAAAACTAGGCTTATCCTTGAGTATATACTGTAAATCATAATCACATAAACAAAATAGACAATAAGCAATCAATACATCAATAAACAGAACATCAATAATAGTAACAAACATTTAAAACCAAAGTCCGGGCCAAATGTGATGGATTAAAATTAAAAAATAGTGCTGATGTGAACCAGGTAGGATATAATTGGGATAGGATTTTTAGAGAGAATGAGGCCATAAAAATCTCCAGCAAGCATGCAAAGAATGAGGAAGTACTTCGTCAGTGTCACAGGTGGACGATGAAGCGACAGCTCCCCTGGTGGCCAGAATACCCTCATGAAAAAGCTGGAATGTTAAATAGCCTCTGCGTGTCTGTCTATATATGTTGTGTGTCTATGGCATTGAACGTTTGCCATGTGTATGTACATTGTAATCCGCCGTGGTGGTTGGAGTGTGAAAGGATGGGTGTGTTGTTTTGTGATGTGTGCATTTAATTTTGTTGTGCGGGGTGAGGAGAAGGGCGGGATACAAATGCTGCAAATAAATAAATAAAATAAATCAGTGTGGTGGATAACTGATGTTCAATGCATCGAATTCTCTGACCTCAAACCTCTGAAGATGCTTGCCATAGATGCAGGCGAAACGTCAGGAGAAATGCCTCTAGAACAGTGTTTCTCAACCTGGGGGTCGGGACCCCTGTGGGGGTCGCGAGGGAGTGTCAGAGGGGTCACCAAAGACCATCAGAAAACAGTATTTTCTGTTGGTCATGGGTTCTGTGTGGGAAGTTTGGTCCAATTCTATCATTGGTGGGGTTCAGAATGTTATTTCATTGTAGGTGAACTATAAATCCCAGCAACTACAACTCCCAAATGTTAAGGTCTATTTTTCTCAAACTCCTCCAGTGTTCACATGTCAGCATTTTGAGTATTCGTGCCAAGTTTGGTCCAGATCCTCAATGTTTGAGTCCACAGTGCTCTCTGGATGTAGGCGAACTACAACTCCAAAAGTTCAAGGTCAATGTCCACCAGATCCTCCCAGTATTTTCTCTTGGCCATGGGAGTTCTGTGTGCCAAGTTTGGTTCAATTTCATCATTGGTGGTGTTCAGAATGCTCTTTAATTATAGGTGAACTATATATCCAAGCCACTACAGCTCCGAAATGACAAAATCAATCCCCCCCAACCCCACCAGTATTCAAATTTGGGCATATTGGGTATTTGGGATTTAAAAATACACCTGCATATCAGATATTTCCATTACAATTCATAACAGTAGCAAAATTACAGATACGAAGTAGCAATGAAAATGTTATGGTTGGGGGTCACCACAACGTGAAGAACTGTACTAAGGGGTCGCAGCATTAGGAAGGTTGAGAACCACTGCTCTAGAACATGGCTCTATAGCCCGAAAAAACCCACAAGAACCTAGTGATTCCAGCCATGAAAGCCTTCGACAATACATTGAATTCTGAATTTTTTTTCGAAAAAAAATCAGAACTTTTCAAAATTTCCCCCCCCAAACAAAAACCCCAAACAAACTGTAATTTATAAATTACCGTGGGACAAGCATTTCCCAACGAGTGCCTGGATTTATAGGTGGTCCTCGCAGGCCAGCTTGGCCAAGGAACTGCATTCAAATGGGTGCCTCCTCCGTTGTGTTTATTATTGGCAGGCGCCAACGAGGGCTCTGACGCGGAGCCTTGCTCTTGCCCGTTCTTTGCAGTCCAAAAGACACAATCACAGTCAGTTAATTGCTGGTCTTGGCTCGGGAGAGATGATGGGGGAGAAAGTGGGCACTCCGGCCTTGCTGTAGTGGTCTCTGGAGCCTCCTCTGTGCATCAGGGGTGGATACAGTACAGTAAAAACATCATCATTACAGTTTCCTAAGCCAAATCGTCAATCCAGTCGTAGTCATAGTCATGCTCGTAGTCACAGTTCTTCATAATTCATCAAAGGGAAAGGTTCTAGGTTCAGTCCTCGAATGCCACATTCCAGAGCCAGGTTTTTAGTAATTTCCTGAACGTCAGGAGGGAGGGGGCAGATCTGACCTCTAGTGGGAGGG